TTTACAAGAATTAATTTTTTCACATTAACTAAAGTCATCCCAATAATTGGGTAGAAAAGCCTACTTTGAAAACTGTGCCAGAAGGCTGTGCCAAGTGGTTCATGCAAAAACCAGTTTCCTGGTTTGCTGCGGGAAAGTGATCATGTTAAAAGCACATTGTTGGCATTAATACTTGGTAAGGGGGAGGGGCTGTGGCCGGGTAAGTTCTAGGCATAAGAATTAAGACTCTAATGTGGTCACTTCAGGACAATAAAAATCATCCTCATGCATACATTGCAATGCTATTTAGTTTCCTGAGCCAAAAAGATGGCTGTGCAGCACCCCGACGTACATTCACGGCTCCAAATGCCTGGCATGTACTACTTATGGAACATGCAATATATATTTTTTTAACTCAGATATAGGAAAGAGACACTATCAATGGTCTTCCTGACAAAATTTCAAAAACTAAACCCTATAGTGGGAGAAAGAGTAAATACAGCTCAGTAGCATAGAATCCTCAAGACAGACCCCAAATGGCTAAGTGACCAGTCCTAACTTTTTTCCCTGAGATGCAGAACTGCCTATGCAGCTGAATGACTACAAAGAACCAAATGAGAAGAGATGACGTTGGGGGCCTCCAGGGAGGGAACAGGAAGCCAGGGAGAGGGGACAGCTCTGGGCCTGGGACGGTGCACGGGGGCCCCACGCGCCTGAGTGGCCCCCGCAGCGGCCACGCTTGGGGAGCCCAGACGGACCGGGGCAGGAGGGCAGGCGGCGTCTGGGAACCAGCGGCCAGCATGAGGGCTGCCCGGAGGGGTGGGCGAGGAAGAAGGCTGGACGGGATGCGGCAGATCTATGTGCTTCGGATATTTCCTTGTTTTAAAAGCTGGTCCTTGGCCCGATTTTCTGGAGGAAAGTTCATTATTCTAGAACTGCATTGTCTAATACAGTAGCCGAAACTTCATGTAGCAGAACTTGATTAACTAAAATGAAACAAAATTAAAAATCCAGTTCTTCACCGACACTAGCCACACTTCAAGTGTCCAATCCCGACAGCGGTTAGAACTCCTACGTTGGACAGCACAGGTACAGACCAAACCCCTCGTCGCAGAACGTTCTACTGGACAGCCTGAGCTAGTGTGCTGTCAGGATGAGGGACAGATCATGACCCCCCTTCTCCCAGCACTGTCGCTTACTAACAGCGACACTGGACTGGTCAACTAACCCTCTCCATGCCTCAGTCTCCCCGTGTATAAAACAGGAGTGATTAATTCCCTATATAAGGCAAATGTTGAAAGGATTCCATCACTAATATGAAAATCACAGAGAACCTGGCTCGTTATAATAAATGTTAGCTAATACCTGCTTTGGTGGCATGATGTATATTACGGAATAACAATAAAGACTTATCTGATAGATGGTCCATATTGTTTTGTTAAGAGACATCCTTTAGATGAACATGTGAAAAGTTAAAATAAGTAATCATCTAAAAAGTGGCCAAAGTAGGGAAGAGTATCAATCTAAACAAGCAACAATGGTTTCATGGAACCTGGAGCTCCTGTGCAGACTTCTGTCTAAAAATTGAAAGGAAATGAAAAGAGGTCAGGGGAACCACTGACCACACACTACAGTGTGTCAAAGTGCACACTGCCTCCAGGAATGGTATTCTGGCAGCTTCCATCAAGCCCAGTTATGTACTGTAAATAGTAGAGACCTAACAAGGGAAAGTAAGCCCAAACACCTTGAGAAAAAACAGAATTGAGTGCCTTCCAAAGAAAATAATAATTAGGAGTAATAAAACCACAGATGGAAATTTCAACAATACCTGTTTACCACAAAGCATTTCTAAGCTCTTGTTTTAAGACATAGATACATGTTTGTAATTCAAAGAACCTCATGACCTAGAGTCACAAGACACATGATATTAGAAAAATGGACAGGGACAGAAGTTTTAAGGTATCTTTAGCATAGAAAAACAAGTAACAATAATGTTAGAGTAAAGGTTGTTTGTAATCTCTTATGTCTGGTGAAAATGCCCTTTTTCCCCCTTTAATATGAAGAAAACTTCAGTTGTGGATATAAATAATTTGATTCAGCTTTTCCATGTTTTTATAACTAATTTTCAAATATTTTGTTTATTGTGCTTTCAAAATTTCAACCACCACAGGTAACTGAAATTATAAGTCTCAGTTAAAAAGATAAAGGTTCTCAGACTCAGATATTTCATTACAAATTAACAGCTATCCCTCCTCTAAGATATAGATTTAATAAGCAATTAGATTATTTATAAATGTCTGATAATGTTTTTAAAAAAGCTTAGTCTTAGTCAAAATAAATTTTCCCTCGATTTGAAAGGCTTGGAAGTCATAATTAACCAGTTGACTATATTTGTTAATTTATCTATCTGGTTTTACACTCAGAACTTACTTTTATTCCCTCTGAAGGATACATGTTATTGCTAAAGATTTAATAAAAACACCCTAGAAAGAAGAAACTTTCTAGAACACAAATTCATGAGTTGGACAGTTTAGAAATTTCTAGCCCCGAAGTAGTTGCTCATAAAAAACTCAAGCTTTTGCCTTGATTAATGAACTGGGAAATAAAAATATACTTTCACACCTTTGGTGTGTTTGACCCCTTTGCCTCTCCTGTGTTTTGCATCTTTGAGCTCAGTTGCTAATTTTATTTACTAAGAGCTAAAACCATGAGAAAAAAAACTTGGCAAAATGTTATTTATAATACACACACATACAAATTCATTTTTCAATTCAAAATAACTTTTATAGTTCAGATTTAAGTGTCACTTTTCTTCCCCCCAAAACTATCTACAGCTGACTGATCTGTCCACCACTTTTGAAAAAAAAAATATACTGTGTCTGTGAGCTGCTAAGTGGGCATAAAAGCCAAATGCCTGCCCTCAAGGTGGTCACCTCTGGGCCCCAGGAACCCGCATATACATCCGTTAACAGTCATGGACCTGAGTGTCTTAGCCTGATTTTTCAGTGACCTTTACTTTTAAGTAAAGTGATCATTATCTTTACTTTTATTCTTTCTCACTCAGTTTATCCTGGTCCTTTCTTCTTCTTTTTTTATGAAGGAAATGATAATAAATATTGAAATGGAAATACTAATATAAAATAAGTACATAAAGGCTGAGTTATTCAGATGGCTTTCCTTTGGATGCTTCCAACGTCACAGGGGCTGGATGGCTATTTCAATACTTAGAGAAAATTACTACCTAGAGAAAAATACTTCTTCTGGATATCCACGGGCAATTACAAAATACAGAAATTGTTATCAGATAATCTCAAAAAATGGATTTTTTCAAATAAAAAATATTATAAGTGATAGGACATTCATCCTATGTCTTAAATAAAAAGGTTAGACTTTTAAAAGTACATTTTTAAGCTATAATGCCACATTTGCATTTTTTATTTTTATTTTATTTTTTATTTTATTTTGTTATCATTAATCTAAAATTCCATGAAGAACATTATGTTTACTAGGCTCCCCCTTCACCAAGTCTCCCCCTAAAAGTACATTTTTAAATGAAAAAGTATTAGGTAAAAATACTAAATAAAAAAATAGAGAGCTGATAAGACCTTCCTTTCTGGTCTGAGTCTCCAGAAATTACTTGATAGTCTCTAAATTGAAAGGATCAAAGTTCAGGAGCAGTCTCTTAGAAATGATTTATTCATCTCAGAAGTGTGAAGCTTCAGTCAGATTTTCACAGAGATTTGGGAGAAGAAGAACTTTTAGCGGGTAGAAACATCATCATCTTTTTTCCTTTTGAGCACTGCCACATTTTTAACTGTTTTGTTCAATGATCGTAGGTTACGGTAAAGACAGTCTATGTAAAGAATCTTTTTACACCCAACAGAATAAAAGTTCTGCCTGAAAATGCATGTTAACACAATAACGGGGACTGCAAAGTATCAGTTGAGAAGCTACAGTTAACTAACCATCAAGCGGAGTTGGAAGGTCAGCCAGTTTCCATCCAAATGTAAAGCCCTGATACTGAAAGCCACCACTTACTGAGTGGGCCACAACAGCCACAGAGAGGCCATTCGCCAGGAATTAGGTGGGGAATGCGTAATTCTTTGTTTCCTGCTGTTTGTAGATCATTGATCAAAAATCTATGAATGACAAGACTCAACTTTAAATAAGGGCAGTCTGTAGGGGAAAGGACTTCTCTTTTAAAAGTCACTTTAAAAAGAAAACTCTTTCGTTCCTTTTCTAACAGGAAGACTTTGATGCTTTCTTTAGAACAAAATGGCCTATCAGTTATCTGCAAGTAACATCTTCAAAAGGTCAGAAAATAAAGCAAATGGATGTATATCACTCTGAACATGCTCACAAAAAACAAAGGCCCCAAGAACATCCAAGACTCTGAAATATGCCCTGCTGGAACACACTGTTTCTTGACAAACTGGCTAAAATGACTATATTTAAAATGCTCCTGGGGGGAACATACACCCAACACAGGGAGAGAAAGAATAACACTTGTGCTGCCAAAGGGATGTCCCAACCCCAGCTTGGAGAAGAACTGTGACCTCAGAGCACAGCCACTGCAAGTGGTGTTGGCTCTACTTACTGAGGAGCAAAGGTGACCTTCATTTTAAGAAAAAGAACATCCACTAAATGGTGCCATTTCTATTTTCTCTTATCACTGCTTTATTTTTAAATCTTCAGTAGAATATTGGTTTCTTTTAAATTAATGCAAATAAACCTTAAAAATCCTATTCTCTCAGTGAAATACGATAAACATTTAATTATGTAACACAACGACATTTACTGAATTCTGGTTATTTGAACCTATTTCTTTCATCTCAGTAAGACACATGGAATCAAAAGTATTGAAAAGGGAATTGTATCATATTTGGCTAATGTAACATAAGGAACCAAGAATTCTGGCATGGTGTCCAAATCCTCATTAGTCATTAACTAACAGAATTTAGGTAAAAAGACTGTATTTTAAAAACACAGATCTACAGTTTTACCATGTATCCAGTATCTACCTTGGACAACTCCATGCCTGGCCCACACTGCTTGCAGAGAACGCAGTTTCCAGATCTATCCCGGAATTCTTGCTGTCTGCAGTCTCCTGTTTCACACATCACTTTACATGCCTGAGAAAAATGTTTCACAAAATGTTATTTGAAATGAATTATATTTTTTTTGCAAGAAAGGAACAGTATCATCAATATTAGTTAGACAATTTCATTTTCACTTTAGGAAGAAAACCTACTTTAGGAAGAAAACCTTCACTTTAGGAAGAATAAGCCAGTGGAAGAAAGAAATCAATAAGCCTGGTTCTTCTCTGTAGTCTCTGGAAGAGGTCTCCCTTTTTCTTAGGGCTCATCACGATCTTCCTGATATTTTTCTGAGTACCCAACATAGGATACTTCATACCAACAAGGATATAAATAACTACATAAGAAGAGCAGCTCTTTAAAAGATTGATTCTCAGTTCTACACAAACCATGACTGAGGAACTGCTCTCTTTTCTAAGTCAGGGGATGTACTAATGAAAAGGCATATAGAGACCTCAGTCCTTCTGCAGTCTAGAAACATTCTGATTTCAAAAACTGTATTTTTTGATCTTCAAGAAATATAAATGTATTCAAGTACAATGGATTACATAAACAAATGGAATATATTAGTATAGCTACAAGAATTTTGCTATTATCCCTTAGACATATCTACCACCCAGTTCTGATGTGAAGGTTCAACCTTGTTCAGTTGCGCATTTACTTAGGAACTGCCTATCAAAACATACCAGCTGACAATCATGAGGCTGTGAAATTCCTGAGGATGATGAAGATGACAATAGTGGCCAAATTCTTTGGACTATTCAAAGTCAAAGTGCTGCGTAAATATGATCTGAACATTCTTACTGATCACCATTTGGTCATTTAAATGGGACCTAACAATATATTTTGGTGCACAGCATTTGGATTTAAATGGAAGGATTATCTGCTTTAGCAAAAACAAAGGTTGCAGATCACTTTCTGAAATGTAGCTTTTTGTCTTCTTATTTTACTATCATCCTCCAAAAGTGTTTATCTACTTCTTAACAGATGGCATTTCATAAAAAATTTTGGCATTAACAGATCTCAGCTTGGTGACAACATTCTGGCCGACCACTCATCCTAAGCAGGAATGCCTTTAACATTCCTGACTATAATTTTATTTTCCTAAATGAAACCTTAAGAAGCACTGGGGAACAGAGACTGCATGGGTAAAGCGATCACACAGAGGTGCACAGGAAACTGGTTTTGATGGTGAGCAATTATTCAGTACAAACTACCTCCATCTTGAAGCAGGAGTGTACCTTGCTTAAATAAAATCAACCTCCTTAAATAAAATCAAAGCTTGAACCTCTACAGCAGGCAGGGGGTAGAATTCAAAGTGGGGTTTATGAATGGAAAATAATTTGGGGCTAAAGGTCTATTAATCTCTTTCCTTCTCTCGTAACTTCCATCTTAAAGGTTCGGTGTTAAGAGAGGTAGGAGATTCCTGTCTGCCATGAAGAGACTAATCGTTTTGAGAAAAAAAATTCCACTACCTCCCTTCCAGACCATTTATTCCAAAGCTTAACAACCCGGCAGAAGAGAAGTTTTCCTTACATCCACCTGAATCTCAGACTCCAGTGTGATACCATTTCTTCTTGCCTTGGCTTCCATGAAGACTTGAGGTATTGTCTTCAGTGTAAATAACTCCTTCTATATTTGTAGATCATGATTATATCTCCAGATTAAGTAAATCTGCTCTCTTTTCTAAGTCAGGGGATGTACTAATGAATCTATTTCATAGATCTTTTGTGTCAAGCTTTCAAACACTAAAATTCTCCATCTGTGTTTAATGGTTTTGGAACCAACAAGGATATAAATAACTACATAAGAAGAGCAGCTCTTTGAAAGATTGATTCTCAGTTCTACACAAACCATGTAAGTCATGAGCTCCAAATTAGAATCTATGGTCTCGTTAGGGTCTAGGATGTGTTGTGAGAGACATACACCTATGAAACCAAGGTAGCATCATTGTTGTGGGCTATGAGTAACATTGATTTTTATGACCTCATCTAAACTTTACTTTCAACAATTGTTACAAACTTCAAGACTCGGCAGAAATCTATGCTTATTAATTATGCAACACTGATAAAATGCAACTTGAGAGAAATTTTTTAAATATGGGATTAGAAATAGAAAATGATTTTGGTACTACATATATGAATTCTTTCACCACATTCTCAAGGAAATAAAGAGTTTACTTACCAAAGAGGCCAGTAAAACTACAATGGTGAAAAATGCTTTCTCTTGTTCTAGTAGCACTTTTAAAGCCATCGCTCTTATTGAGTGTATTTGTTGTTCAAGAGGTCTAAAAGATAAGAAGATACAGGTAAAATGAATACCATCGGTGACTACTCTCTGTATTATCTCTAGTATTTATCATTCACTACATACATTAGGTAATATTTACATTTTAAATGAAATCACCTTTTTTCAAGATGCAGTAGGCAGATAATATGTAACTCTTTAATAATTTAGATTATGAGAATTGAAGTTCTATCTCCTTACACATTATGTGCAAAACTCCTACTGGCTCTGAAATCCCAGGCTATTTGCACATGCCTTTATTTTCTGCCCAAGTCTCTGTCCAATCTACTCCACACAGTAGAGAATTACATTCAAACAGTGACTATATAAGCCTTCTATGTATATGGGTTTAGTCAGTGCCAAGAAGATAACAGTAGTGATAAAATAACAACACGTGCTAAACAGGAACCAGGTACTATATTCACCATTTCAACTAATTTAATCTCCACACTCTAGAAGGTAGATACTATCATTATCCTCACTTCAGAGATGGGGAAACTGAGGCTCAGAGAGGGCTGAGTCACTTGACCAAGGTTGCATTGCTAGTGGGAGGCAGAACTGGATGAAACCCAGGTGTGTTGGTTCCTGTGTCCCTGTGTCACATACCCTGCAAACAATTTGCTCAGTATGCTTAGATCTTGGAACCTGAGCTCCATAAGAAGCAGACACAGCTAACATCTGGAACTTGTGATCTACCAGGAGAAAAATAAGCATTCATTTAAAAACATCTAAAAATAATCTATCAGTGATGAAATTGGAGGCACTAACCTAACATTTCAGTAACAGATACGCCAAACCTCTTTATCTTCACCACAAATGATCTATATTGTATGTTGGGTTTTTGCCCCCACAGATCCACACAATGTCAAGAGAAGAAATTTATTTTTTTAAAAAAAAGAAGTGAAGTCGCATTTGGTGGCTCCATTTATCATGGAGCAAAACAAGGGTTCAGTTCCCCTTTCAAGCTGAATCTTCCAAAACTAACAAAGACCCAGAGCAGATAATCTGACTACTCAGAAACCAGAGCTGAGAGCCAGAACCATGGGCCAAAGAGCTCAGGAAAAACAGCAGCAATAACAACAAAGGCAGCCAGCCAGGGGTGACCCTTGATCGCAGCCTGGAGATGCACGACCCAGATGGTTATTCCAGCCACCTGAGCAGGTCCAACTATCAGGGCAATGAAAAAGTCATTTTTATGTTTGTTGAATGAATGACCCATTTTGATGAATTTTGCTTTTCCAACTTCTTGATCATAGCTTTTTTCTTCCCCTGCATTATCTCAAAATCTCCCAGCAATTACCCAACTATGTGGCTTACGGCTTGTGCAGACACAGGACTGGGTCAGAAGGTAAAATCACATTTCCTGAAAGGTATGCTTCTGGTTATCTTCTTCTCAATATAGTCCTACATTTTTTTAAAATGTGCGAAGTTTTAAAAATAAAAACATAAAATCGATATGGACTAAACCAATATGAAATAGAAGGTATAAACACCAAAGCATTTACACAAAACATGAGGAAAAAAGAGAGAGAGTCAGAGCATACAAGAATGAGGTGACTAGTTTGGACAGAATATTCTCCTGGGATACTGTACTAATTACCTTGGAAGGTGGACAAATATTGTAGTTATCTTCTTATAAAATCTATCACTGACAGGCACACCAAGTTAGAAGTCATGGCAATATGGTTTTGACATTGGAAGATAGACCTGTTTTATGTACCAAAATAAGTATGCCAAAATATTAGCAATGGTGAGGTTCATACTGGGGCATCCTGGGTGAATTCCCCCTCTTTTTCCTAAAAGTTCCTTGTAACATGAATGTTTCATTAATAATGAAAAAAAATATGTATAATATTCTTGGGCCAAAAGGTAAATTACAAGGTCCTTCTCTTTGAAAAGTTTCTAAGTTAAAAGAGGTGATGTAATTCAAGAAAAACAGAAACCTTACTAAAAAAAGAAAATTAAATAAAGTATTATGGTTTTTGCATCACAGACTTTTTAGAGGACAAGGTAGAAACAAAGTAATGGATCTGTAACATATGTCCTGAGTTGTGTTATTCTCCCAACACAATGCTAAACTGAATCGTTTGAATGGGTTTGTTCCTGTCAATTATCTTCTAGACTCCTTGGCCGGCCACCTATGCCTTCTATAAGCTCACTGGCTGGCCCACCAGTTGCATCACTGCTCACTGCCTTTGCTGGCCATCCAGCTCGGCCATCCCAACACACATGTCTCCTGAGCACCTGTGATCTTGACCTCTTGCACAGCCTGTAATGTTGGTCTGGAGGGCCTTTCTCCTCCAGAACCCCTCCAAGAACCAGCTCAACCATCACCCTGCAGAGATGCTGTCCACAACCAAGCACAGGGAAGAGACTTGCTCCCTGTGGCCCTGCAGCCCTTTCTACATCCATGTACAGTATCTGTCATATTGTACAACAGTTATGCTTATTTGTGTATCAGTTTTACTCAACACATTGTCTCCATCTTTAAAATAGGGACCACCCCTATTGCTCTGTGTATTCCCAGTGTCTAGCATAGTGCCTGGCACATAAAGGTGATCAATGAATGTTTGCTGAATTAATGAATGAAGAAGCATAAACCAATGAAGAATATATTGAGGAAAACAAGTTGAGATTTGGTTGCACATAACTGACTGTTCTGTGGTGGACAGAATAAACATTCTATTCCAGACGTATCTTATTAATATCTTCAAATCACTAAGTGCCTCAGGCTAGGAGACAGGAATAAATGATACAGGGATATATTTTTAAACATCCTAAGTCACTGTAAAAAATGCACATAGTTATTTACAGATTTCTTACATTTGGGGCTGAAGATGGAAATGTGCCACTGAAATATATCATTTCTCTTTGAGCCTGGCATTTTGCAACCAAGAGACTGGGAAATAATTGAGACTGTGTAGATGGTCCTGATAGCAGTTGGGCTGATCTAGAGTCCAGGTTTGAAACGTTTTCAGCATGTAAGCCCAATCTGGGTGAAAAAGAGCCTGCCTTCTATTGTGACCTGTCCGGGGAAAATGGCAGCCAGAACACCTGGGCTTGCAGTCTGATTTCTTGGCAATGTCACTCGGAGACTACACATCGACAGGGAAAAACAGAACCTATCTCACAGGGGTGTTGTGAGGATTAAATGAGATAACGCAGAAAAAGTGCTTAGCCAGTGCCTGGCCCAAGCTCAAGGCTAATTGATGATGGTGGTGTATGTTGTTGTCATGATTGTTACTGAAAACACCACTTTACTGGCATGTGAACTTCGACAAGGTACTTAACTGAGTCTGTTTCTCCAAGTCTAAATTTGGCATAATTGTAATACCCACCTCCTGAGACTGCCGTGAGGAATACATGTGTTTTATAGATACAGAGCACATACAGGTAAATTAATTGATGCAAACTGTTTCTGGCACATAATGAGTGCTATCTAAGTGTTAGCAATGCCTGCTCTTATTATTAATATTACCGAAAATCAAATGATCCAATGTATGTAAACAGTCCTTGAAGACTATGATCTGAAAGACAAATATGAGACATAATTCGATGGTCACAGTCAAGCAGCTTCTAGACCTACTGACCAGTAGAAAGTATTCAAAGACTAGGATAGATTCAAAGCTTGAACTAAGAATTTATATTGTCAAGGACTGTGTAAAGGCTTTATAATAAGTATAACTTTTTTCCCCTTACTACTATCCCTGAAGGATATACTCAGCTCTACACAACGTTGAGAGACAACTGAGGGTCAAAGGACACATTTAAGAGAGATGCTGGAAACTAACTCAAATTCATGCCTGGTAACTCCAAAACACGGCTCCCAGCCATTCTGCCAGGTTGACTTAGGGTTGTGCCAAGCTACACTGCAGCACCCAGTGACCCCTTGCATTTGGCACAGTTGGCCTACATTGACAAAAAAACAAAACTATATAACAATATAATACATTTAATGATTTATCTATTTATTCAATGTGTTTTGATTAAACAGTTACTAGGCACCTGAAAGGAGGTGGTCAAGTTGGGGCGAAACCCTACAAAGTTGCCCTTCAAGGAGCTTAAAGTTTAGCAGGGGTGGTGAGATCTCCTTCTACTATAGCTTGGCCAGGCAGTATTTAGAAATAAACAATTTAGCTGGTGGGGTGTGGTAAGTGTGACTATGAATTTCCTGGAATTAAAAAGAAACACCTTATGAAATGCCTTGGCATTCACGAAAAGCAGGAAAATTTAATGAAATAACAAGAACTTAAGTAATAATATTTAAAATAAAAATAAGGCCATGGAATGGTATTTACTGAAATTGCTTTTAACTTCTGGGCATTCAGGGTAGAAAAGAAATACTTTTTTCTATCTAGCCCTTTGGTGTTCTATTTATTTGGGGACGGCTTATCTAAGAAGAGATATACAAACTATTGATATTATGTGGTCCACTGGAATTTTCATAGTTTGCCAAAATATTCAGACTAGATAACATCTACAAACAACCTAGCCAACAATTTTGTAAAACATGCGCAGAGGAAATGCCCCTAGCTGAGTAATAAGGGTAAGAGTAATGATCCTGGTTTACTGTGTTCTAGGAGGTTGGAATTTCTGTCTCACTATCTGCTCTTCAACAGTAGTGAGCAGGGTGGCAGTACTGGGAGAACCAGGCACAAAACAGACAGGAGCCACAGGAGCTGGCAAAACATTCTGTACAGCTGCACAGACGGGGGCTTTTTATCAAACCAAGCTGCTCAGCCTGATCATTTAAATGAATGTTAATTAATAGGGATGTGTGTTAATTTGCCATCCTCTAAAGGGCATAAAACCAACAGGTGCTGCAGTGCACACACACCTATTCTACTTGTTTGTTCAAATCATGAAAACCTGTGCTGGTGTGTCAGCAGGCAAAGAGGAAGCAATTTGCAAGCCCGGCGCTAGGGGGCGCAGCTCCAGATCTAACCCACCCAGGCCATTGCAACCGGCAACTCCCTCAATGCCCCTCCCTCTTGCCTTGGC